TATTCAATTGCACAGTATTGTGCAAAAGAAGATACTTCGTATAAATTGCTTATTTCTTGATCAATTTCAATGGGGTTTTATTCTTGAATTCTTGGGGTTCTTTAATATGCTGAATCTAACCGTGTATTAAGTTTTTGGATTTTGGGCCCTGTTTTTAAATTGGTCCACATTGAGGTCCAAAGGGTCCAAAATTTAACTTTGTTTGATTTCATCAATAATTGAATTATTGGGGTTCTTTGATATGCCGAATCTAACTGTGTATTTAGATTCTTAATTTTTGGTTCTGTTTTCAAATTGGTCTACATTAAGGTCCAAAGGGTCCAAAATTAAACTTAGTTTGATTTTAACAAAAATTGAATTTTTAGGGTTCTTTGATATGCTGAATCTAAACATGTATTTAGATTTTTGATTATGGGCCCAGTTTTCAAGTTGGTCCAAATCGGGGTCCAAAATTAAACTTTGTTTGATTTCAACAAAAATTGAATATATGGGGTTCTTTGATATGCTGAATCTAACCATGTATTTAGATTTTTTATTTTTGGGCCCCGTTATCAACTTTGTCCACATTGATATCAAAAGGGTCCAAAATTAAACTTTGTTTGATTTCATCAAAAATTGAATTCTTGGGGTTCTTTGATATGCTGAATCTAACCATGTATTTAGATTTTGGATATTGGACCATAATAGGTAAATGTCCAATTTAAAATTTTTAAGTTCTTAGACCACATTCATTCTGTGTCAGAAACCTATGCTGTGTCAAATATTTAATCACAATCCAAATTCAGAGCTGTATCAAGCTTGAATGTTGTGTCCATACTTGCCCCAACTGTTCAGGGTTCGACCTCTGCGGTCGTATCAAGCTGCGCCCTGCGGAGCATTTTATTTTAGAATGTTTCTACTAGATGCATAACGTAATTATATCTTAAATCTATTTTGTATATACCAGAATTTATTATTTTTGTAGTTGTCATTTTTGTTTGATAATAAGTATATGTACATTGTATATTATTAAATATTGAATAATATATAAAGCAGTCCTTTAAGGGCTACCAAATACTTTCAACAAGATATTCAAAGTTGTTGTTGGACAGTTATTTGAGTTGACTAATAAAATATTATAAGTGTGTCTTTATAATAGTCAAAAATTTCAAATTTGATGATTTGGGACTTTTCTTTTGATGTGTGTGTATCTTCTCCAATTTATGTATAGAATTTATGAAGGGCCTTAAATTGTGTAGAGGCATGTTGGTATGACGTTCTCTGACAACACTAGCGGCAACTCAGATGGACCTCACAAACTAGTACATTAGCTTGGCTTTTGAAACACTGAATAGATTCTTGATACACTTGATGCAGTTCAAAAACAAATGCTGTCAGCAAGTCAGATGAAATATTGTATACACATACTTTACTTGAGATGAAATAAAAGTCATTGGACAATATTTCAGATTTTTACGAAATTTTGTATGCATTTAGAAATAGTTGATCGGCATCTAAATAATTAAAAACTTGCATATGTAGCATAACTATATAGATTCTATATTTTGAGTCCAAAATGATGATCTGAGCGAGTTCACAGGCACATTAAAAGTACCAAAATTTAATTAGATTATCTAATTTTGACACTCCTCGTAATCACCAATTCATCAAGCCAATTGACATGTCATTTAAGTTTTCACACCTGAGACATCAAATACATTTAATTGAGTGTCTTCCTGCTATTCCTACATTTTGTGAATAAATAAATCCTTCTATTCCTATCTTTCAAAAATAATGGCAATGCTTAATTCGAATATGGTGCTGTTTGAACAATATGAGTTCTAATCGGTTAAACAGAAAAGTTTTCATATGGGCAGACATTATGAGTAAAAAACACAAGTGTATAAAAAATTGAAATTTTTATGTAACGAAAACATTTTCTGAGTGTAATGCAGAACATTTGTGTAACATTACAGAATATGTCCATAGTACTTCAGTTGTCAATACTGTTATGTCTAAAATGTTTAGTAAATATGTTGAACAGTTAGCAATGCAATTTACAGTCAGAGAAAGCTTTATCTGGTAAAGGTGGTAACAAACTTCGAACATATAATTTATTTAAGAACAGTTTTGAAACGGAAACTTATTGTACAATTCCAATGTCATTTTCACAAAGGAGTTCATTTTGTCAAATTTCGATGTTGTGTAGCACCACTAAGAATCGAAACATGGAGATTTGAAAAATTACTTTTAGAGGAGCGAGTCTGTGATAGTTGTAAAGATATTTTAGAAGATGAAGCCCATGTTATTTTATCGTGTCCTTTATATGACAATTTTTAGAAAAAAATTGTTTGATGAAGCAACACATTTTAATAGTGATTTTATGTCTTTTGATGATAAACAGAAATTAGTGTTTTTATTTACAGATGTTTATATGATTCGTAGCTGTGCCAAAGCCTTTTGTTAGAACTTTTTTGATATTTTCTACTATTAATATTTTGAAACTGTACATTGATGAAAACTATCTCGTTAGGTTTGATTGATATTTACCTGAAGTTAATTAGCATTATGTTTTGACAATCTAATCTGATGAATCCCTTGTTTATTCAACTATTCCTTCTATTCCTACATGGATTTCTTACAAATGACATACAAGATTTTAGGAGGAATAAACCATTTAATTGAATTATACCTTGCATTATCAGATGACAATTAGGATTCAATTGCTTGACAATTTTGTAAATAGTTGATTATTTTTAAATTTATTAACAGAATTGGGAGAACAAACTTAATCTTAATAGTGTAATTGGCGCCTGTAAATTTAAATATATATTTTTTTTTATATAAAAAAGAATTTCTTTTTATAGAAAAACATTTTTTTTTTATAGAAAAACATTTTTTAAAATAGAAAAAGCATTTTTTTTTTTATAGAAAAACATTTTTTTTATAGAAAAAACATGTTTTTTTATAGAAAAAACTTTATTCATAGAAAATCATTTTTTTTTATATAAATTGTTTTTAAAAGATCAAAGGTCTCCAAATATAAAAAAAAATCTTTCAATCGTCCTGTCATTAGTGTATCCCGAATTATAATAAAATGCTTCGCTGAATTTGGATTGTGATCAAATTTTTGGCATAATATAGGTTTCTGACACAAAAAAAATGTGGTCAAAGATCTTATCAATCCATTGCGCAATACTGTGCAATTGAAAATTTCTTCTTGAAACTTTTCAAAAATTCGAAATTTAAAAAATTTTGAGGAAAAAATATGAGTCCCTTAAAAAAATTGGGAAAAATTCCCCCCCTCCCCCCCCCCCCCCCAAACTTTTTGAAACCCCCCTTGGAGTATTAACCCCAAAACTCAATCCCAGCCTTTCCTTTGTAGTATGGAACCTTGAAGTACAATTTCAGAGAGATCCATACACTTACACACAAGTTACTGTCTGGAAACTAGAAAAATGCTTGTTTTTGGCCCTTTTTTGGCCCCTAATTCCTACATGTTTGGGGCAATTAACCCCAAACTCAATCCTAGCCTTCCCTTTGTTATATGAAACCTTGTGGTACAATGTCAGAGAGATCCATACACTTACACACAAGTTATTGTCTGGAAACTAGAAAAATGCTTGTTTTTGGCCCCTTTTTGGCCATTATTCCTAATCTGTTGGCCCCATAACCCATAAATGAATCCCAACCTTCTACTTGTGGTATTAAACATTGTGGTACAATTTCAGAGCAATCGAAATACTTATACTCAAGTTATTATCCTGAAACTAGAAAAATGCTTGTTTTGGGCCCCTTTTTGGGCCTTTAATTCTTAAACGGTTGGGACCATCATCCCCAAAATCAATCCCAACCTTCCTTTTGTGGTATTGAACCTTCTTAAAAAATTTCATAGAGATCCATTTACTTAAACTTAAGTTATTGTCCAGAAACCAATGTGTCTTTGGACGACGATGACGCAGACGACAACGACATCATACCATTATACGATCCCAAAATTTTTTTTGCGGTCTTATAAAAGTAATATAATTCTGAATTATTAGTTTTGCATTTTGTTAATTAATTCAATGTTCTATGGTATATTTTAGTAGTTTCATTGTATTTTGTGAAGTTCTGTGGTATATTTTGGGTGTTCTGTGGTATTCTGTGGTGTTCTGTTGTAAAAAGACGCTCTGGACTTCCGTAATATCAGAACCAATGTCGGAATGGAAACGAATTAGTTTCAGGAATAAAAAAAAATCTGATTTTTTTGTGGAAAATAATTTGTTGACCGGCGGGGTTATTTTTGACCCGGATGGGGGGAGGGGAAACAAACATGTTTTATTATTTTGGCCTTGTAGCTCTTGGAAATATTAATTATATGGAAAATTGCCTTGTGAGTGCTCTCATGTGTACAATTCTTGCCAGATTTTTATGAAATTTATATGATAGGTTTATAGTATCAATGTTTTGGATGAGTTCGAAAATCTGTGCCAATCAATTATTTTTTAAAGAATTATGCCCCTTGGAAATATTAATTATATGGAAAATTGCATTGTCAGTGCTCTCATGTGTACAATTCTTGCCAGAATTTTATGAAACTTATATCATAGTTTTATATCAGCAATGTCATTGACACTTTGGAAAATAAGTGCTGATCAAATATTTTTGACGAGTTATGCCCCTTGGAAATATTAATTGAATCGGAAATCACATTGAATTTGCTCTGAAGCTTTCATTTCTCTAAGATATTTATGAACAGTTTTAAAGAACAAAAAAAAAGTGCATTTTTTAGTTTTGCCCTTGTACCTTGGATAGATAAAATATGTGCAACACAGGGGACATTGTAACTCTGTTCTTTTATTTAAATAAGAAATTTTCTTAAATAGGGAGGAGACACTTTGAAGAAGTTGTATGTATATCCCTTGCAATACAAAGAAATGATGTAAAGTAATAAATTACATGTATGGATATAGTGCTTTTCAAAATCAATCAAATTGGCTTGCTCACATGGTGCTTTGATTATATTTTTTTCATTTCAGAATATATTTTAGTAGGATTTAAACAAAAAGAATCGAAAGAGTTTATTCAGACAGTTTATAAAGAAGGCCACTGCTTAAAAGAAATAGGCTCAGCAGAAAGTCGAAACAGTGCTTTTTCTAGTTCTTCAAGCAGTTCAAAAAATTCACCATCAAACTTTTACACCTCCCCTCCTTTTTTGCCAAAACCATACACACCTAATTCACAATTTACAAGAGTTACTGGCTTAGAAGAAGTACTGGAAAGAAATAAGATTACATGTTCTGCAACGTTGGATAAAAAGACCCCTGAGGAAAAATACTACAAAGAAATATATGGTTCATTATCTGAACCTCCATCAGGTCAGTCTCTTCTTAAATCAATTGATGAATCAGCTTGGACAGTAGTTGCCAGATCAGATATTGGTGGTAGAGAAACAATTAAAGGGCACAAGCAAACTTGCAAAGATCTGTCTGATCAGGAAGAAAATTTGGGATTCTTACAAAGTTTAAGAATTACAGAAATAGACATAAATACTAAAAATAGTAAAAATATTGACAAGGATAACAGTTCTAGAAATCTTGGCCTAAGTGAGGGTTTCAACTATACAGCTATTGATTTTGAATGCACTGCTGAGACAAAATCAAACATTTTTGAGGAAAACAATCTTTTATGTGTTTGTGCTGAAAACCTTAGAATGAAATCAAGGCAAGAGCAAAACCAATTGAAACAGTATACACAACTGCTGCAGGCAGCCATTAATGATGGGGACCAGGAAAATGCTCGTCAGTATGCTGATTTTTTGGCAGCCAGTCATATTAAAGTGTCTGTGTTATTAGATGAAAGCAGTCTTAATGAAGAAACAAATGATCAGGACATCAAGTAAGAACTGGAATAAATACTCTAATTAATGATGTGTATTACAGTAGATTAAGGTCCAAATTTCGTTATATACAACATTTATTAGTTTTTAGACTTTAGGTTTGCACTCCGTCCGTCTGTCCATCCGTCAGTCCGGCAAATCAGTTTTCCACACTTTTTATACGACCGCAAAAAATTTTTGCGGTCGTATATTGGTATGAAGTTGGCGTCGTCGTCGTCCGAAGACACATTGGTTTTCGCACTCTAACTTTAGTTTAAGTGAATGGATCTCTTTGAAATTTTACCATAAGGTTAAATACCACAAAAGGAAGGTTGGGATTGATTTTGGGGGTTATGGTACCAACAGTTAAGGAATAAGGGGCCAAAAAGGGGCCAAAAATAAGCATTTTCTAGTTTCCAGACAATAACTGTGGAACGGTGTACGGATCTCTCTGAAATTATACTACAAGTTTCCATACCACAAAGGGATGGTTAGGATTTGCTTTGGGGGGTTATGGCTCAAACCGTTTAGGAATTAGGGGCAAAAAAGGGGGAAAAACAAGGTTGTCCTGGTTAATGGACAAATACTTTAGTACAAAACATTATTTAAAGCAGTGTAAGGGAGATAAATCAAATACATCATTGAAATTACCTCCCTTACACTGCTTTTAAATTATGTATAAAGTAATGGTTAATGAACAATTAAGATAATTTAAAACAGTGTAAAAGAGGTAATCCAAATACAACGTTTTGGTTACTTCCCTTACACTGCTTTTAAATTATGTTTAAAGAAATGCATATTTATAAAGGAAGACCAGTAAAAATATCTGCAAATGTTGCATCTTTTTTTTTTACAAAAAAATCTATATGAAAGATTTGACACTATATTTTAAATTCTATTATAAAATAGATTAAGTTAGCACTATGGTAAATTTAAATGGGTAATTATGGTTGCAAACTCCATTGGAAATTTGAATTGAGATTATGACCATATCTTGAGGGAAAGAATTTTTTGGGGGAAAAAGGGTGGGGGGGGTAAAAAGAAATTGTGGGGGGTCAATTTTTTCTCATTTCAGATTTCAGAAATTAAAAAGAATTATTCTTCAAATATTATTTTTTTTTCAAATTTCAAATATTGAAAAATTTCAAGAAGAAATCTTTAATTGCACAGTATGGCGCATTAGATTTGTAAAATCTTTGACCACATTTATTTATTTGTTATGATGAATCTAACTGTGTATTTAGATTTTTAATATTGGGTCCAGTTTTCAAATTGGTCTACATTAAGGTCCAAAGGGTCCAAAATTAAACTTTGTTTGATTTTAACAAAAATTGAATATATGGGGTTCTTTGATATGCTGAATCTAAACATGTATTTAGATTTTTGATTTTTGGCCCAGTTTTCAAGTTGGTCCAAATTGGGGTCCAAAATTAAACTTTGTTTGATTTCAACAAAAATTGAATATATGGGGTTCTTTGATATGCTGAATCTTACCATGTATTTAGATTTTTTATTTGTGGGCCCGCTATCAAATTGGTTCATATTGAGGTCAAAAGGGTCCAAAATTAAATTTTGTTTGATTTCATCAAAAATTGAATTCTTGGGGTTCTTTGATATGCCAAATCTAACCGTGTTTTTAGATTTTTAATTTTGGGTCCCATTTTTAAATTGGTCTACATTTAGGTCCAAAGGGTCCAAAATTAAACTTAGTTTGATTTTAACAAAAATTGAATTCTTGGGGTACTTTGATATGCTGAATCTAAACATGTGTTTAGATTTTTGATTATGGGACCAGTTTTCAAGTTTGTCCAAGTTGGGGTCCAAAATTATACTTTGTTTGATTTCAACAAAAATTGAATATATGGGGTTCTTTGGTATGCTGAATCTAACCATGTATTTTGATTTTGGAAATTGGACCATAATAGGTAAATTAAAAAAATTGAAGTTCTTAGACCACATTCTTTCTGTGTCAGAAACCTATGCTGTGTCAAATATTTAATCACAATCCAAATTCAGAGCTGTATCAAGCTTGAATGTTGTGTCCATACTTGCCCCAACTGTTCAGGGTTCGACCTCTGCGGTCGTATCAAGCTGCGCCCAGCGAAGCATTTTATTGATTATGGGCCCAGTTTTCAAGTTTGTCCAAGTTGGAGTCCAAAATTTAACTTTGTTTGATTTCAACAAAAATTGAATATATGGGGTTCTTTGATATGCTGAATCTAAACATGTATTTAGATTTTAGATTTTTGGCCCAGTTTTCAAGTTGGTCCAAATTGGGGTCCAAAATTAAACTTTGTTTGATTTCAACAAAAATTGAATATATGGGGTTCTTTGATATGCTGAATCTAACTTTGTATTTAGATTTTTTATTTGTGGACCCCGTTATCAAATTGGTTCATATTGAGGTCAAAAGGGTCCAAAATCAAACTTTGTTTGATTTCAACAAAAATTGAATATATGGGGTTCTTTGATATGCTGTATCTAACTATGTATTTAGATTTTTGATTTTTGGGCCCCGTTATCAACTTTGTCCACATTGAGGTCAAAAGGGTCCAAAATTAAACTTAGTTTGATTTTAACAAAAATTGAATTCTTGGGGTTCTTTGATATGCTGAATCTAAACATGTGTTTAGATTTTTGATAATGGGCCCAGTTTTCAAAATGGTCCAAGTTGGGGTCCAAAATTAAACTTTGTTTGATTTCAACAAAAAATGAATATATGGGGTTCTTTGATATGCTGAATCTAAACATGTATTTAGATTTTAGATTTTTGGCCCAGTTTTCAAGTTGGTCCAAATTGGGGTCCAAAATTAAACTTTGTTTGATTTCAACAAAAATTGAATATATGGGGTTCTTTGATATGCTGAATCTTACCATGTATTTAGATTTTTTATTTGTGGGCCCGCTATCAAATTGGTTCATATTGAGGTCAAAAGGGTCCAAAATTAAATTTTGTTTGATTTCATCAAAAATTGAATTCTTGGGGTTCTTTGATATGCCAAATCTAACCGTGTTTTTAGATTTTTAATTTTGGGTCCCATTTTTAAATTGGTCTACATTTAGGTCCAAAGGGTCCAAAATTAAACTTAGTTTGATTTTAACAAAAATTGAATTCTTGGGGTACTTTGATATGCTGAATCTAAACATGTGTTTAGATTTTTGATTATGGGACCAGTTTTCAAGTTTGTCCAAGTTGGGGTCCAAAATTATACTTTGTTTGATTTCAACAAAAATTGAATATATGGGGTTCTTTGGTATGCTGAATCTAACCATGTATTTTGATTTTGGAAATTGGACCATAATAGGTAAATTAAAAAAATTGAAGTTCTTAGACCACATTCTTTCTGTGTCAGAAACCTATGCTGTGTCAAATATTTAATCACAATCCAAATTCAGAGCTGTATCAAGCTTGAATGTTGTGTCCATACTTGCCCCAACTGTTCAGGGTTCGACCTCTGCGGTCGTATCAAGCTGCGCCCAGCGAAGCATTTTATTGATTATGGGCCCAGTTTTCAAGTTTGTCCAAGTTGGAGTCCAAAATTTAACTGTTTGATTTCAACAAAAATTGAATATATGGGGTTCTTTGATATGCTGAATCTAAACATGTATTTAGATTTTAGATTTTTGGCCCAGTTTTCAAGTTGGTCCAAATTGGGGTCCAAAATAAAACTTTGTTTGATTTCAACAAAAAGTGAATATATGGGATTCTTTGATATGCTGAATCTAACCATGTATTAAGATTTTTTATTTGTGGACCCGCTATCAAATTGGTTCATATTGAGGTCAAAAGGGTCCAAAATTAAACTTTGTTTGATTTCATCAAAAATTGAATTATTGGGGTTCTTTGATATGCCAAATCTAACCGTATTTTTAGATTTTTAATTTTGGGTCCTGTTTTTATACGACCGCAAAAAAATTTTGTGGTCATATATTGGTATGACGTTGGCGTTGTCGTCGTCGTCGTCGTCGTCGTCGTCCGAAGACATACTGGTTTTCGCACTCTAACTTTAGTTTAAGTTAATGGATCTTTTTGAAATTTGACCATAAGGTTAAATACCACAAAAGGAAGGTTGGGATTGATTTTGGGGGTTATGGTACCAACAGTTAAGGAATTAGGGGCCAAAAAGGGGCCAAAAATAAGCATTTTCTAGTTTCCAGACAATAACTGTGGAACGGTGTATGGATCTCTCTGAAATTAAACTACAAGTTTCCATACCACAAAGGGATGGTTAGGATTTGCTTTGGGGGGTTATGGCTCAAACCGTTTAGGAATTAGGGGCAAAAAGGGGGAAAAACAAGGTTGTCCTGGTTAATGGACAAATACTTTTGTACAAAACATAATTTAAAGCAGTGTAAGGGAGATAAATCAAATACATCATTGAGATTATCTCCCTTACACTGCTTTTAAATTATGTATAAAGTAATGGTTAATGAACAATAAAGATAATTTAAAACAGTGTAAGGGAGGTAATCAAAATACAACGTTTTGGTTACTTCCCTTACACTGCTTTTAAATTATGTTTAAAGAAATGCATATCTATAAAGGAAGACCAGTAAAAATATCTGCAAATGTTGCATCTTTTTTTTTTACAAAAAAATCCATATGAAAGATTTGACAGTATATTTTTAATTCTATTATAAAATAGATTAAGTTAGCACTATGGTAAATTTAAATGGGTAATTATGGTTGCCAACTCCATTGGAAATTTGAATTGAGATTATGACCATATCTTGAGGGAAAGAATTTTTTTGGGGAAAAAAGGGGGGGGGATAAAAAGAAATTGTGGGGGGTCAATTTTTTCTCATTTTAGATTTCAGAAATTAAAAAGAATTATTCTTCAAATATTTTTTTTTTTTCAAATTTCAAATATTGAAAAATTTCAAGAAGTAATCTTTAATTGCACAGTATGGCGCATTAGATTTGTAAAATCTTTGATCACATTTATTTATTTGTTATGCCGAATCTAACAGTGTATTTAAATTTTTTATTTTGGGTCCAGTTTTCAAATTGGTCTACATTAAGGTCCAAAGGGTCCAAAATTAAACTTTGTTTGATTTTAGCAAAAATTGAATATATGAGGTTCTTTGATATGCTGAATCTAAACATGTATTTAGATTTTTGATTTTTTGGCCCAGTTTTCAAGTTGTTCCAAATTGGGGTCCAAAATTTAACTTTGTTTGATTTCAACAAAAATTGAATATGTGGGGTTCTTTGATATGCTGAATCTAACCATGTATTTGGATTTTTTATTTGTGGACCCCGTTATCAAATTGGTTCATATTGAGGTCAAAAGGGTCCAAAATTAAACTTTGTTTGATTTCATCTAAAATTGAAGTATTGGGGTTCTTTGATATTCCAAATCTAACCGTGTATTTAGATTTTTAATTTTTGGTCCTGTTTTTTAAATTTGTCTTCATTGAGGTCCAAAGGGTCCAAAATTAAACTTAGTTTGATTTTAACAAAAATTGAATTCTTGGGGTTCTTTGATATTCCAAATCTAACCGTGTATTTAGATTTTTAATTTCAAGTCCCGTTTTTAAATTGGTCTACATTAAGGTCCAAAGGGTCCAAAATTAAACTTAGTTTGATTTTAACAAAAATTGAATTCTTGGGGTTCTTTGATATGCTGAATCTAAACATGTGTTTAGATTTTTGATTATGGGCCCAGTTTTCAAGTTTGTCCAAGTTGGAGTCCAAAATTAAACTTTGTTTGATTTCAACAAAAATTGAATATATGGGGTTCTTTGATATGCTGAATCTAACCATGTATTTTGATTTTGGACATTGGACCATAATAGGTAAATTAAAATAATACAAGTTCTTAGACCACATTCTTTCTGTGTCAGAAACCTATGTTGTGTCAAATATTTAATCACAATCCAAATTCAGAGCAGTATCAAGCTTGAATGTTGTGTCCATACTTGCCCCAACTGTTCAGGGTTCGACCTCTGCGGTCGTATCAAGCTGCGCCCAGCGAAGCATTTTATAATTTCTTCATGCTTGAAGATATTGATTTGATAATTGATATATTGTTTTAGCATGACAAGTTACAGATCAAATTCGTATTTTGTTCCGGTCTGATAATTTTGTGCAGAGCTATGGTCCTTGGACTTAGAAAATTCACTCAAATAATCAGTTTTTCACACTTTTTTTGGTCATGCTTGAAGATATTGATTTGATAATTTGTATATAGTTTTATCATGACAAGTTACTGACCAAGTTCGAATTTTGTTCCGGTCTGATGATTTTGTGCAGAATTATGGTCCTTGGACCTAGAAAATTCACTCAAATAATCAGTTTTCACACTTTTTTTTCGTCATGCTTGAAGATATTGATTTGATAATTGATATATAGTTTTATCATGACAAGTTACAGACCAAGTTCGAATTTTGTTTCGATCTGATGATTTTGTGCAGAGTTATGTCCTTGGACTTAGAAAATTCACTTAAATAATCAGTTTTCCACACTTTTTTTTGTCATGCTTGAAGATATTGACTTGATATTTGTTATATAGTTTACACCATGACCAGTTATAGATCAAGTTAGCATTTTGTTCCAGTACAATTAATTTTTTATCCGGTAGGGGACTATGTATTGCCATGCAATACTCTCAGAATGCCTGTTTAACATATTTTATCCAGTAAAAGGGATAATGACTTACTATTCATTAAGATGTTACAAATGTGTGACATTTGACATGGAAAATAAATTAAACAATATACATTGTATTCCTACAAAAATAAGGTGCCAATGGGACAACTATCAACTTGACTTGGGACAGGCACATAAAGAATGTGGCAGGGTTAAACATAATTGTGAGCACTCAATCCTCCCTGTTACCTTGGACAGTGCTGTTACATCACAACATAAAAACACACTTTTAAAATCAGTTGTAAATCGCTTGACTCATCAAAATGGTGCCAAGCACACAAAAAAACACAAATAAAAACAGATAAAGATAAGACACAAAGTGCTAATCTTAGATTCCTTGCAGTTACTGAAAGCTAGTTCAAAGCCTATTACAGTAAAATTATACATGTTTTTATGTGATTTGTGGTAGAAATATTATATTGTATACTCAGGTTTACCTCTGTCTGTATATCCTTCCGTTTGTCCTTAATACATTGATGTTGCCTTTAGATATTTGAAACCAACCTTCATATTGGAAAGCTATATTGTGTGGCTTATTTTCAGTACCATACATTATTTACTTCTTGTTTTCCCACTGTGTATCATAGTAAATTTGGTACATGTACCATCAAAATGGAGAGCGAGGACAACAAAATTAAACAAGATAACATTTCTGTCTGGCAGGGTTCATCTGACCTTGACCTCATTTTTACGGTTCATTAGTCAATATAAAGTTTTCATGGTTTGGTCTGTTTCTTGTATACTATAAGCAATAGGTCAACTATATTTGGTGTATGGAATGATTTTTAGGTGTACATGTATTTCTGGCTTGGTTTATCTGACCTTGACCTCATTTTCTTGGGTCATGTTAAGTTAATGTGATACTTGTAGTAAAACTTTATATTTAGGACTTTCAACATGAAATCAATGGTCAGTAAAGCAGGAGAGAACTTTTCAGCGTGTGCACTCTTGTTCTAAATATATGACGTATTGCTGGTAAAACAAATTGACCTCCTTTTCAAGAAACTGTTCTATGAGTCTAAATACTTAATAAAACATGTGGTAATAACACATAATTATCTTGACAACATTGTAGACACCTAATAAGCCAATTAGTCTTATTAGATTTCTAGTAGAATAAAAATGATCATGGTACATATTTTCTTGTATCGATGCACTTCGTTAATTTAAACGACATACTCTGCATGAAAAACGTATTCCATGAAGGTCTTGGTATATATTTATTTTTACGGGACATATTATGGTATACCGTTGTCCGACTGTTCGTCCATCTGTCTGTCCGTCCACTCAAAACACTTGAACCAATTCACATGAAACTTTGGTGAATTGTTTATATCTATTGACGTGAGCTCCCTTTCGTTTTTTATAAATTTAAGATTTTAAGTTTCCGAGTTTTGGGTTTTTATACAACCGCAAAAATTGAAAATTTTTTGGTCGTATATTGGTATGACGTTGGCGTTGTCGTTGTCGTCGTCGTCGTCGTCGTCGTCCGGCGTCGTCTGGCGTCGTCCGAAGACACATTGGTTTTCGCACTCTAACTTTAGTTTAAGTGAATGGACCTCCATGAAATTTTACCATAAGGTTCAATACCATGAAAGGAAGGTTGGGATTGATTTTGGGGGTTATGGTACCAACAGTTAAGGAATTAGGGGCCAAAAAGGGGCCAACAATAAGCATTTTTGTAACTTCCAGACAATAACTTGTGTGTAAGTGTATGGATCTCTCTGACATTGTACCACAAGGTTCCATATCACAAAGGGAAGGCTGTAATTGATTTTGGGGGTAATTGCCTCAAAATGTTAGGAATTAGGGGCCAAAAAAGGGGCAAAAAACAAGCATTTTTCTAGTTTCATGACAATAACTTGTGTGTAAGTGTTTGGATATTTCTGAAATTGTACTACAAGGTTCCATATCACAAAGGGAAAGCTGGAATTGAGTTTGGGGGTAATTGCCCGAAACGTTTAGGAATTGGGGGCCAAAAAGGGGCCAAAAATAAGCATTTTTCTAGTTTCCAGACAATAACTTGTGTTCAAGTGTATGGATCTCTCTGAAATTGTACTGCAAGGTACCATACCACAAAGGGAAGGCTGAGATTGAGTTTGGGGATGATGAATCATAAGGGGGTTCAAAAAATTTTGGGGGGGGATTTTTTTTTTTCTTTTTTCTTTCTTTTTTTCCTTTTTTTTTTCTTTTAAAATTTTCCATTTTAAGTTGGTTATTTCTGATTTATATTTAAAAGCAAATAATAATGATATGGTAGGAGATACATACCAAACAGGATGTGTAAATTATTATATAATAAGTATTGTGCAATAGCAAGAAATTTTCAATTGCACAGTATTGCACAATAGCAAGAAATCTTCAATTGCACAGTATTGCGCAATAGCAAGAAATCTTCAATTGCACAGTATTGCGCAATAGCAAGAAATATCCAATAGCACAATATTGCGCAATAGCAAGAAATTGTCAATTGTACAGTATTGCGCAATAGCAAGAAATAATCAATTGCACAGTATTGTGCAAAAGAAGATACCTCGTATAAATTGCTTATTTCTTGATCAATTTCAATGGGGTTTTATTCTTGAATTCTTGGGGTTCTTTAATATGCTGAATCTAACCGTGTATTAAGTTTTTGGATTTTGGGCCCCGTTTTTAAATTGGTCCACATTGAGGTCCAAAGGGTCCAAAATTTTACTTTGTTTGATTTCATCAAAAATTGAATTATTGGGGTTCTTTGATATGCCGAATCTAACCGTGTATTTAGATTCTTAATTTTTATACGACCGCAAAAAAATTTTTGTGGTCGTATATTGGTATGACGTTGGCGTCGTCGTCGTCGTCCGAATACACATTAGTTTTCGCACTCTAACACTCTAACTTTAGTTTAAGTAAATGGATCTCATTGAAATTTTACCATAAGGTTCAATACCACAAAAGGAAGGTGGGGATTGATTTTTGGGGTTATGGTACTAACAGTTAAGGAATTAGGGGCCAAAAGGGGCCAAAAATAAGCATTTTTGTAACTTCCAGACATAACTTGTGTGCAAGTGTATGGATCTCTCTGACATTGTACCACAAGTTTCCATATCACAAAGGGAATGCTGGGATTGATTTTGGGGGTAATTGTCTCCAAATTTTAGGAATTAGGGGCCAAAAAGGGGCAAAAAACAAGCATTTTTCTAGTTTCATGACAATAACTTGCTTGTAAGTGTATGGATCTTTATGAAATTGTACTACAAGGTTCCATATCACAAAGGGAATACTGGGATTGATTTTTGGAGTAATTTCCTCCAAATATTAGGAATTAGGGGCCAAAAAGGGGCAAAAAACAAGCATTTTTCTAGTTTCATGACAATAACTTGTTTGTAAGTGTATGGATCTTTATGAAATTGTACTACAAGGTTCCATATCACAAAGGGAAGGCTGGGATTGATTTTGGGGGTTTTCACTAAAAATTTTAGTAATTAAGGGCCATAAAAGGGCAAAAAAAACATGCATTTTTCTAGTTTCAGGACAATAACTTGTGTGTAAGTGTATGGATCTTTATGAAATTGTACTGCAAGGTTCCATATCACAAAGGGAAAGCTGGAATTGAGTTTGGGGGTAATTGCCCTAAACGTTTAGGAATTTGGGGCCAAAAAGGGGCCAAAAAACAAGCATTTTTCTAGTTTCCAGACAATAACTTGTGTTCAAGTGTATGAATCTCTCTGAAATTGTAGTGCAAGGTACCATACCACAAAGGGAAAGCTGGGATTGAGTTTGGGGGCGGTGAATCATAAGGGGGTTCAAAAAATTGGGGGGGGGGGGGGTTTTCCTTTTTTTTCTTTAACATTTTCCATTTTAAATTGGTTATTTCTGATTTATATATAAAAGCAAATAATAATGATATGGTTTGAATAGGCATACATGTGAACCTCCCGAAGGGAGTACAATAATCCTGTTTTCAGGGGTCTCCTCCCGACCTCCCGTTGAAGAGGAAAAAATCCCGTGTATGAAATTTTTCATGAATGAAAAATTTCTGCCCAACATATCATCTCAGGCATCTGGTGTAACTGACATTACCTGAAGTTATATTTTACCTGTAAATCAATTAACATGCATAATTATATGGCTTCACTTGTCAGCTTGGGTGTCAAACATACTGGTAAGCAACGATTTTTACCTCAGGCTAACTGCCGTTGTGTAACAAAAACTGTGTATTTATTGGGTTACTTCCCTTGATTTATCCTGTTTTAAGTTACTTTCCTTTTAATAATGAAAATTTTTAAAAGAATATAAATAAAATATAAATTGAACAAATAATCATAAAAGGATGGTTATTAAATGATTTTAAATGTCTTAGGACAAATAAAAAAATAATAATTTGAAAATTATTTGAGGATTCTATACTTCCTTTTAAGGCTTAAATTGAAATTTATATAATAACTATGACCCTAACTTTACAGATGGAATGAATTTCTGAGTTTGCAAATAAAAACTATTTGCAAGAGAAAAAAAAAATAAATAAAAACTATTTGCAGACAGCTAAAAAAATGTTCTAGTTGCAATGATTGTTTTATAGAATATGAAGTAAAAAATTTAAAGAACATACTGGAAAAAAACAATGTTAGATTGAACATGTAGAATATAAAGATGGAGAAACTTTATAAGTACAAGGGAAAGTTGAAGAAAACACACTTTAAAAGACCATTTTTACAGCACACGGTTACATTTACAACAAAATTAATGTCGATTAAAAACCTCCTGATCTGAGTCCTAATTTCCTGACCAAAATTTCCCAATCTCCTGATCTGAGTTTCACAGTCCATCACATGTATGAATAGGTAAATTGAAAATTTTTAAGTTCTTAGACCACTTTCATTCTGTGTCAGAAACCTATGCTGTGTCAAATATTTAATTACAATCCAAATTCAGTGCTGTATCAAGCTTGAATGTTGTGCCCATACTTGCCCCAACTGTTCAGGGTTCGACCTCTGCGGTCGTATCAAGCTGCGCCCCAGCGGAGCATTTTATTTTTCATTAAAAAAGGGGGATTTTCCAGTTTTGGACAATAACTCAAAAACACTTTCACCAATTTGCAAGAAACTTTGGTGAATTGTTTATATCTATTGCCATGAGCTCCCTTTCGATTTTTATAAATTTTAGATTTTACGTTTCCCAGTTATGGGGTTTTATTCATTAAAAAAAGGGGGGTTCTCTAGTTTTCGGACACTAACTCAAAAATGCTTTCAGCAGTTTTCATGAAACTTTGGTGAATTGTTTATATCTATTGATGTAAGCTCCCTATCGATTTTTATAAATTTTAGTTTTTACGTTTCGGAGTTATGTGATTGTATTCATAAAAAAGGGGGTATTTTTCAGTTTTCGGTCAATGCTTTGAGCAGTTATCATGAAACTTTGGTGACTGGTTTATATCTATTAAGATAACCTCCCTTTAGTTTTTCATGAATTTCTGATATGACATTGAGAAGTTATTGAACTTTATTCTTTGAAAAAGCGACGGGCGTATCATGCGCTCATGGCGCAGCTGTTTATTATAACATTAGGCCAATTAAAATTAATTGATATATTTTCATGCCCGCCCGCCCCTCTGAAATCGTCCCGCCCCGATTTTTTTTATTTTGAAAAATTTCGATTTTCCAGATTTTGTTCATTTCCGTTACCGGTAACCGTCGATAATTTCATTTCATTCAAAACTTCCTGTTTCAAATTTCGGTTTTCGTATTACTTACTTACTTACCTACGAGAAGGGCATGAAACATTCGGGTTACGAGTACGTAATACGCTGTGTCCAAGAACGTTAATCGCGGTACGTCACAAATGTTCTGAGAATAAAAAACCGTGGATGTTTTTATTTATACAATGACTTAGTGTAAGGAAATTAGGACTGTGAACGATATCCAAAGCGCAAGAAATTATCGTGGAACACATTGTTACAATAAAACATGACTGGATTAAAGAAATTGACACAAGCACGAACTTGTTAGATTTATGACCGTATATTGAGTTCAAAAAGTCTACAAACATACATATTTTATTATAGCAATCCCTTAGATTTACCCATGGCTTTCCGGCGTTTTTTGTTGAAAAACAGCACAGTAAACACCCTCTGTCCCAATACACTTAATAGAGTCATTCAACAACTTTTCCAAGTTTTACATTGTAATTATATTTGCATCTTGCATTGGCACCAACCCTATCATTTTCAACACTATTTGAGTTTTCATTTTATTCTGTACTCATAATATTTGTTTTGCATACCAAAACATTTGCTTCATTTTATGGGGACTACAAACCATCGCTTAGAAAGCAAAATAAATTCAGTGTAGGTAGTCCAACTGAAAAAAGCATTTTTCCACGTTTATAAATGGGTTTCTAAAGCGGCAATTACATGTAGAACAGTGGTTGCCAACCAGAGATATATATTTAAGAATTTGAAAAATTATGTATGATTCCTTATACATGTATCGATATACATGATATAAGTTAATACACTTGCATATATGAAGAACAAGTCACAAGAGGGTTTCATATGAAATAAAATTTAAAAAATAAAATCCTCCCACCCGCCCCATTTTTTTATACGACCGCAAAAAAATTTTGAGGTCGTATATTGGTATGACGTTGGCGTCGTCGTCGTCGTCGTCGTCCGGCGTCGTCGTCCGAATACACAATGGTTTTCGCACTCTAACTTTAGTTTAAGTGAATGGATCTCTATGAAATTTTACCATAAGGTTCAATACCACAATAGGAAGGTGGGGATTGATTTTGGGGGTTATGGTACCAACAGTTAAGGAATTAGGGGCCAAAAAGGGGCCGAAAATAAGCATTTTTGTAACTTCCAGACATAACTTGTGTGTTAGCATATGGATCTCTTTGACATTGTACCACAAGATTCCATATCACAAAGGGTCAATGCTGGGATTGATTTTGGGGTTAATTGCCTCAAAATTTTAGGAATAAGGGGCCAAAAGGGGGCAAAAAACAAGCATTTTTCTAGTTTCATGACAATAACTTGTGTGTAAGTGTATGGATCTTTCTGAAATTTTACTACAAGGTTCCATTTCACAAAGGGAAAGCTGGAATTGAGTGTTGTGGTAATTGCCCAAAACGTTTAGTAATAAGGGGCCTAAAAAGGGGTTTAAAATAAGCATTTTTTAGTTTCTAGACAATAACTTGTGTTCAAGTGTATGGATCTCTCTAAAATTGTATTACAAGGTACCATACCACAAAGGCAAGGCTGTTATTGAGCTTGGTTTGGGGGGAAAGGGGGGTGGGGGTGATGAATCATAAGGGGGGCGGGGGTCAAAAAAGGGGTAATTTTTTTTTTTCCTTTTTTTTTTGTTTAAAATTTACATTTTAAGTTAGTTATTTTTTATCACGAAGAGAAAGTAGGAATTGAGTTTTGGGGTTAATTGCTCAAACATTTATGAATAAGGGGCCAAATATTGGTCAAAAATAAGGATTTTTTTAGTTTGCAACAAAAACTTGTGTTCAAGTGTATGGATCTCTGTGAAATTGTATTGCAATGTACCATACCACAAATTGAAGGTTGTGATTGAGGTGGGGGATGATGAATCAAAAGGGGGTTGAAAAAATGTGTGGGAGGTAGGATTTTTTTTTTTCATTTTTTTTTTCTTTAAAATTTTCCATTTAAAGATGGTTGTTTCAGATTTATATATGAAAGAAAATAATAATGATACGGTTATATATCATGAGGAATTGAAATTTAAAATTATGTATATTGGAAATTTAAGTTACATTGGAAAGTAATAATTGGCTTTGGGGGGGGGGGGGGGGGGGTGGTGGTGGTGGTTATGGCTCTAATGTTTAAGGAATAAGGGGAAAAAAGGTTAAAAAACAAGGGTTTCCATTTTAATAGACAAATAATTGAGTAAAGAACATTATTTAAAAGCAGTGTAAGGTTGGTAATTCAAACTCATTTAAATATCTCATCTACACTGCTTTTAAATTATGTAAATTGGAAATTTGCCAATAACTTTATTGTTAATAAATGCATTGGAAATTTGCCAACAATTTTAGTGTAATAAACTTTATTGGAAATTTGCCAATATAAAATTTTGCTGATGAAGGTTTTTTGTTTACCTTTAGCCTTGACTATGAAGTCATTTTCTATTTTTATAGCCTTATGATGTAGTTGAATTATTTAATACTTTTATGATGTGTTTAAATGGGGTTTTATCATGTTTATGGTTGCAAATTTATTGTTTTAGTATAATAAACTCCATTTAAAATTTGCCAATAAAAAAAATTTTTGTTTATTTTTAGCTATGATTATGATGTCATTTTCTATTTTACTTTTATGGTTGCAAAGAAATTTTTATTTTTAGATATTACTGTTAAATGATGCTGATTAAGGTTTTTGCTATGTTTAGCCATGACTATGATGTCATTTTCTATTTTAATATCTGTTATGATGTATTTAAATGGGCTTTTATGGTTACAAAGGAATTTTATTTTTAGATATTACTATAAAATGTTGCTGATGCTGATTAAGGATTTTGTTTATTTTGAGCCATGACTATGATGTCATTTTCTATTTTAATACCTTTATGATGTAATTTCCATTTTTAGATATTACTGTTAAATGATGCTGATTAAGGGTTTTTTGCTATGTTTAGCCATGACTATGATGTCATTTTCTATTTTAATATCTTTATGATGTATTTAAATGGGCTTTTATGGTTACAAAGGAATTTTATTTTTAGATATTACTTTAAATGTTGCTGATTAAGGATTTTTGTTTATTTTTAGCCATGACTATGATGTCACTTTCTATTTTAATACCTTTATGATGTATTTAAATGGGCTCCCATGTATTTAGATTTTTGATTATTTATACATGTTACCAAATTGGTCCACATTGAACAAAAACGGTCCAAATTTCAACTTTATTACATTACATCAAACATTGAATTCTACATATTCTTTGATATATTGAAATTAACAAACAATTTAGTTTATGGATATTCCACCATAATAGGTAAATTAAATTTTTTCCAGTTCTTACACCACATTCATCCTGTGTCAGAAACCTATGCTGTGTCAAATATTTAATGACAATCCAAAGTCATAGCTGTATCAAGCTTGAATTTTGTGTCCATACTTGCCCCAACTGTTCAGGGTTCGACCTCTGCGGTCGTATCAAGCTGCGCCCCAGCGAAGCATTTTATTCAAGTTTGCCTTACGTACATGTAAGTTATTATCATACTACGTCACTGCTAAAAAATCAAGTTTTAGAAAAAAAAATCACAAAATTTGTTTCCCTTATTATGCATAAACATTAAAAAGTGATAAGTTGTAAATTGACGAAAGTTTAATTACTTTTTAGCTCACCTGGCCCGAAGGGCCAAGTGAGCTTTTCTCATCACTTGGCGTCCATCGTCCGTCGTCGTCGTCGTCCGTCGTTGTTAGCTTTTAAAAACAATCTTCTCCTCTGAAACCACTGGGCCAAATTTAACCAAACTTGGCCACAATCATCATTAGGGTATCTAGTTC